GCACTATGTACCCCTCTGCCTTATCACTGCCCTCACCTGCCATTGCATTCCTGAGGGGGGGGGTGTGCCTGGCTAGATAGTGGTTGTATATCTTTCAAGACCACTGTAGTAATGTTGACGTTGAACGCATGGAATTTGGGGTTGTAACTATACCTTGTGTTTCCCACCCTGCACATCAGTCCTAACAAAGAGTTTGAACCCACTGCATCTCACATTTCTAAATAAACCATTCACTAAAGAAAGTGTGTGTGGAGAGTGATTTGACTGGGAGCCTGACAACTGGCCCCAATGAGTTTTCTCTCAAAGGCCAAAACAGGCATGGAAAGGGCCTCCTCCCACCACATTTTAGTGACAGAACCAAGCTTGGTTGCCTGGCAACAGCCACTGAAGGGAAAGTGAGCCTAGAAGCAGCAGGAGGTGAAGCATCTTCGTCAGGAGACACAGCTGTTTTGGCAGTTTATTCTGTCAGGGAATAGTGGCCAGGCTGGCAGCGGGTGGGCGAGAGGAGCAAACCCAGCCCCCAGCCAATGGCATACGAGTATTCTTGAGTGGCGGTTGATGGACCAATGGCTGATGGAGTGCACAGCACAGCCAATGGGAGAGCTGGAAAGTGCCAATACATTAGGCTTTTATATAAGATTTGGAACACAGACTGCTTTGGAAGCCTTGGTTGATGACCTCTACCAAGAACTAGATGGGAGAATGTGACAGTGCCAGTTCTGCTGGATCTCTCAGTGGCGTATGATACTATCGACCATGGTATCCTACTGGAATTCTTCTCGGCACTGTGACTAAGGGGTACCTGTGTTAGTGGTTTGATTCCCGTCTGGGAGGCCAGTTCTAGAAGGTGGTGCTGGAGGATTCCTGCTCTGCCACATGGCTACTGGCCTGTGGGGTTCCACAGGGTTTGATCTTATCCCACATGCTATTTAATATCTACATGAAGCCACTGGAAGACGTCCTCAGGAGGTTTGGGCTGTGTCACCAATATGCAGACGATACCCAGCTCTACCTTTCTTCCCCCCCTAATTCTGAGAAAGCTGTTGATGTTCTAAACTGGAGCTTGGAATCAGTAATGGGCTGGATGAAGGTGAACAATCTGAAACTTAATCCTAACAAGACAGGTGCTCTGGTTTAATAGAAAATGCAGACTAGGGACTTGTGATCTCCCATCTCTTGGACTGGGTTACACTCCCCTTGAAAAGTCAGGTTCAAGGTTTGGGAGTGCTGCTCAACACAGCAGTCACCTTAGAAAATCAGGTGATGGCAGGAGATAAGGAGTGCTTTCACCCAGGTTTGGCTGGTGTGCCAGCTACACCCACTCCTGGCTCAGTCTGATCTAGCCACAGTTATCCATACCTTAGTTACATCTAGTCTGGACTCCTGTAATGCACTCTACTTAGGGCTACCCTTGAAAAGTGCTGGGAAGCAGCAGCTGGTGCAGAATGCTGCTGCTAGACTGCTGGTGGGGGCCAGTTATTGGGATCACATGACCCCAATATTACAGCAATTACATTGTCTTCCAATTTGCTCCCAAGCACAACTCAAGGTCTTTTTGACCTTTAAAGCCCTACATGGCTTGGGACTGGGGTATCTGAAGGACTGTCTTCTCCTTCATATTCTTGCCCAGGTACTAAGATCACAAGGAGAGAGCCTCTTGACTGTCCTGTCAATTAAAGAAGCTTGTCTTGTGGGTACACAAGAGAGGGCCTTTTCAGTGGTAGTCCCATGATTATCTCTCTACCTCACACTGCTTCTTATTAGTTCTAAGCAGATTACTAAAATATAGACTCTATTTGAACAGCTGCAAAAATCTATCACAGATGCATAAAATTTTACATTCAAAAGAGTAATAGGTCTCCTATTTTATAATAAAAGAGGTAGTGTCTCCTTATGATCTATATTTTGGAGCACAGGAAGAATTAAAAGATTTCTAGGCTCAGAAAAGTAATTACATTCAAAGGTCACGTGATAAAGGGAGACTACACTACTGGCACCAAAGTCACATACTCTATCAGAGTATGGTATCTTAAGATAACTCCCTTATAAAACTCTAGATGTTAAGGCATTAAGGTGCACCAACATAAAGGCGAGGAACAGTCAATGATTATGAAACATGACAATGGAACAACCTCCCCAGGGACATGCGCCTAGCCCCCTCACTCTCAACCTTTAGGAGGCAGGTGAAAACGGTTTTATTAATGACAGCAGATGTTATGGTGGCGGCTAAAAGACTATGTACCAGGATGTTCCTGGTTCAACTCTCACTTCTGCCATAACTCACTTAGGCAAGCTATTTCTCTCAGCCCCAGTCACTCATCTGCAATATGCAGTAACAACAACCTACCTTACAAGATTGCCGTAAGGATTACTGGTATCACGTATGTAAAGCACTTGGAATAGTCTAAAGAATCGTCTAAATGGTAAAAGAAAAAACTTGTGCATGCTATTTATTTTAGCAAAAACAATAATTTGTTTTTTTCTTTTATACTGTAAAACATTAAGTGTAAAATCTTGTAGATCCAGTATAAACTAAATAATACATCAGAACATAGTTCATTCTGAATATCTAAGAATGCAAATCAGCTGGAAGCTGCGGAGAGTTTTTCACAGCAAGGGAACCAGTTATTTACAGTGCAATCCTAAACTGAGTTATACCCTTCTAAGACCACTACATAACTCTGCTTAGGCTTGCAATGCTAGAGAAGGAAGACAGTGAACACAGAATTATATGACCTTCCTGATTTTAGAAATGAATCACAGGTTAATGGAGCCAGACTTCGGGCTGTCTGTGCCCACTGCAACTGCAGATCTGGATTTCTGCTTAGATATCTCAGTCTCAATGCACTGGTCATTCAAGTGCACAACAGTCTGCTGAATCTGTATTGGAGAAGCAGTTCATTTTGTTGCAATGGGCAAAGGCCTAGCTACTATTTCCATGAAGCAGCAGCCTAGGGAATAACTTACTTTGGTGTATTTTTGTTTGGAACCATTTAGCAACTGTACATTGCACTCTAAAATGGGGGGGGGGAGCAAGAAATGAGCAAGATGAAATAATCAGGTAAATACCAGAGAGAAAACAATAATCAATTGGGTGAACAAAGAGACCTAGGAAACACAGGTATGCATCTCATTCAGATATTTTTCAGTCTTTCAGGAAAATGCAACATTTCCCCACACAAACTAAATTGGGGGAGAGGGGGAAGGGCAGAGAGGAGAGGAAATGATCAAAAACACGAGAGATTCACAAAGACATCATGATACTATACTGTGCAGGAAACTATCAGGAAACAAGGAACAGCTTATCTTGATGAAAAAGATATTGGGAATACAACTGAAACAGTCTGTAAGCACAGCATCTATGAACCTGAGTGGACATTATGGTCCTCCCACTCCTCTCCCCCCCCCCCCCCGTGAGTTTAGAACAGCCTACAGCCCAGGGAAGAATTTCTCCATCTCTACACAAGGAGGGAGAGCTATTAAGGAGGGCCTCGGGCTGAATTATGGTCTTATATTGACCCTTAGTGGTTTTAGAATTTTGGGTTTTAACTTATTGATTGTGTACTGGTGTTTTTTAAATATGGAAACCATTTCAAGTTTATTCAGGAAAAGTGGTATATAAACTATGTGTAGTCTACATCACCCTTTATTTAATGTAACAACCTGCCAGATCCAGAAGGCACACTCCACTTACACACAGGAAATGCCTGGACTGCCTATACTACTAATTAGTAAATATTTTAATGACATTAAGGTGAAGTGGAAAGGAAATAGGTAGAAGGGGCATGACCACAAACTTTGTTAGAGACGGGACATGAATGATATATACACAGCTCACTTCAATTCGTGGAAGCATGTCCCAAACATTCATTAATGTTTACAACATGGTAGGCAAGTTTTATTGTCTTTTACCAGAGAGGTATAAGGAGAAGAACTTACGGAGTGTGCCTAAATGCACTTAATACATTCCAGAGCTGTGGTGACATCTGAACACAGATATTCCTAGATCATGCTTCATACTTTTGTTGTTCAGTTGCACAGCCAAGTGTGACTCGTCTACACGACCCTAAACTCCAATTCTGTATGAAGGAGATGGGGGAGGGGTTGAGGGAAGCTGTACGGTCTTAATTATTCATAGAAGGCTATGCCTGTGCATGCTAGTATGTAGGATAAAATGGAGAATGATGTAGGCTTCTTTGGGGCCTTTTCAGGGGAAAAGATGAGGTATAAATGAAGTTACATATATATATAGCCACACATACATGTGGGCAGTTACTGGCAACAGAGGAACTGAGAAACTCATTTGGGACAAACTTTGGCAGGAAAAAGACCCTCTGGCATGTACTAAAGAAAGTGGGAGAACAGAGGGTACATGATCTCTGTGCCACGGGTGAACCGCAGAAATGCTCTGGGCAGAAGGTGAGGGTACCCAGGGTAAGCCATCAGCGTGGACTGGGTGAGACTTAACAAAACTGGGCAAAGATGAGGGGAAAAGACGGGCAGAGACAGGTGACAGTCACAGGCAGGACGCCCCAAGGGAAGCAGCCCCTTTAACTTGCCCACCTGTAAAAGAAGCCAGCCTGGGCTGCTGCGCCTCCACAAAACCTAGGGAAGAAAGAATGTCGGCCAGTCCAGCTTGGCGTCAGGAACGCGAAAAACCTTCACTGGCTAACCAGTCCTCTTGCAGCCGAGGCACAGTCCTCCTTTGTATGTGGCCCCACAGCCTCTCGCCCCATGGCCGCCCTCTCTCTCAAAGGTGCCCCACAGGCTCCCCCCTTTGCCCCAGCCCATCTTCAGCCCTTTCCTCGGGTTTGCCATTGCCCCATTCACGCTCCTCTCAGCCCGCGGACCGCAGCCCCATTTCTCTCCCCCCGCCCCCACCCCCCGGAGGGGCTCTTGTACCTCCTTCACGCCATTTCTTTCTTTTCCCCAAACCGAGGGGGACGCCAAGCTGCCGCCCCCCTCACTCGGCGGAAGGGGAGAGGACGGGGGTTACTCACTCAGCCAAGACTCCAGGCTTTCCCCTTCCGCCTCCGCCATGTTGCCGGCCGGCCTAGAGACACCGCCCCCTGACCGGCCTACGCCACAGCCGAGCGGAGGCAGGTCCGGCCCAGTTTAGGCTCGGGTTGGAGGAAGAAGAAGAAGTGCCTGTTCCCTTGCAGCCTCGTACCGGGTTATGCTCAAGCTGTCAGTTATTATTTATTGGGAAGCTGTTTTCTGACTTGTACTCCTCAAGTCTACCGTGCCTGTTCTAGTCTCCTTCCATCTCAAGAACTGATTTTATCTCACCCTGTTTCGAGAGTTTGTGTCCTCCCAATTTTAATCTCTCAACAGATTGCTCAAGAGCAAACGCCTACGGTCAGCCAGGGAATTTCATGACAGAGGAGAGCTTGAACGTGCGTCTCTGTCTCTAATGCTCCCAACCACTACACTACACGCACTGGTTCTCAAAGAAATATCAAAAGAGCTTCAAACGTGATAGTTTTTGTGTGTGAAGCAAACCTCTTCATTTGTTCAAGCAGGATATCCCTGAAGATGGAGTAGTGTAGGTGTAGGCTTTCGTCTCTTAGCATTCCCACCTCCACCCCCAGAACTGTTGGAACTCAGGGGGCTATAATCAGCAACTCTTTAACCAGTCGGCTTTTGAATCTGCAACCCCATTGTTAAACTGCCCTCAAAGCATGCCTGAAAACTGCAGACATCACAACCCAACATGCCACACTTTTCTATGAGAAAGCTTGACTTACCCAGGATGGGATAAAGGATTCTGATTCAGTTCTATACCACCTTAAAGACAAACAAATTTTATTGTAGCATAAGCTTTCAAGAAACACAGAGCTATGTTTCTTGAAAGCTGATGCTACAGTAAAGTATGTTAGTCTTACAGGTGCTACTGGGCTTTTTACTATTTTGCAACAGCAGACTAACACGGCTAACTCATCAGTTCTATCATTCAGGCCATGTGTAATCTGTACAGTTCAAACCATGATTTGTCTTTCCCAAGAACAGGGCAGCTATTGTTGTTGTTGTTGTTGTTGTTGGATTTATAATCCACCCTATTATTAGATTTACAGGGCTCAGGGCAGGGGACAACATTTCCAAAAATACACAATGATTTAAAATAGAATTAAAAACAGAATAAGCTTAACAATTCAGCTAACAATTACAAATAACAATTGTAGATGGTGCCAGCAAACACACAATTCAGTATCCTTTCCCAATAGGGGAGAAGAGAGGAAGGAGCCAGGCTAGCTAAAAAAAACTGTTGCTGTCCTCAACCATAAGCCTGGTGGAACGTTTTACAAGCCCTGCAGAGCTGAGTTAAGTTCCACAGGGCATTTATGCCATTCGGCAGAGAGTTCCACAAGGTCAGTGCCAGTGCTGAGAAAGCCCTGGCTCTGGTTGAGTACCGCCAGACACTTTTTGGGCCAGGGATCACCAGCAGGTTCTTCTCTCTTGAGCGTAATGCTCTTTGGAGGATATACCAGGAGAGGTGGTCCCGTAGATAAGTTGGTACCAGACTGTTTAGGGTCTTAAAGTTTAATACCAAAACCTCAAACCTGATCTGGTATTCAACCTGGAGCCAGTGCAGCTGGCAGAGCACCAGCTGAATATATGCTGTCAATGGAGTTCCTGTGAGAACTTGCGCCACCTCATTCTGAACCAGCTGTAATTGGAAGTGACCGTTGCATGGATCACTGTGGCTAGGTCAGGGTGAGACAGGAAGGAAGCCAGTTGCCTGACCTAGCATAGTTGGAAGAATGCCAGTCTGGCAACGTTTGCAGTCTGGGTCTCCATTGATAAGGAGGCACCCAGAAGCACACCCAGGGTCCTGACTGTTGTAACTGGTGTTAAAGGTACACTGTCAAGAGCCGGGTGTTAGCACCTAACCCTAAATCCCCCCCTGCCCAGCCACAGGACCTCCATCTTAGATGGATTTCATCTCAACCTGCTCTGTTTCAACCATCCAACCACGGCTTCCAGACCCTTGGCCAGAGAAGCTGGAGTAGTATCTAGCCATCAACATCCATCCATCAACAGACACAACTTGGTGTCATCTGCATACTGATGACAGCCCAGTCCAAAACTCTGTATCAGCTGGGTGTGGGAGCGCATATAGAGCTTAAATAACATTGGAGAGAGGATTGCCCCTTGGGGGACTCCACATACCTCTCTCCAAGCACCACCCTCTGTCCCTGACCTTGGAGGAATGTTAAAAAACCCCACTTATTCGATAAAAACTATTTTTTCAAAAAGAATGTCCAGAAAGTATCCATCTTACAACTGCCAAGCTTCTTGCAATCTTTTTTCTGTGTTTTTGTGAGCTTTGTTGCTTGTTCCTAGTGTGCTGATATGCTGAACCCATTGGATCTGCATTTACTTTGCACATTTCAGTAGAGCAGAGCATACTAGCACATTCATTCTGTGCAATCGTTTCCTCCTCTTCTCTGGTCCCAGCTAACTTCCTAAGCCTGGTTAAATGTAGAATGAAGAAGAAGAGTTGGATTTATACCCCACCCTTCACTCGAAGTCTCAGAGTGGCTTAGTCTCCTTCCCTTCCTCTCCCCACAACAGACACCCTGTGAGGTAGGTGGGGCTGAGAGAGCTCTGAGAGAACTGCTCTTGAGAGAACAGTTCTCAGAAAACTGTGACTGACCCAAGGTCACCCAGCTGGTTGCATGCGGAGTGGGGAATCAAACCCAGTTCTCCAGATTAGAGTCTGCCGCTCTTAACCATTACACCAAACTGGCTAATAATGAGTTTGAAATGTAAAAAAAAAATGACTTGGAAGCACAGAACCTTTATGTAATATCCCCAATCCTCCATGTTTCCCAGTTAAGGGGAAAATGCTGTTCAAATAAATTACAAAGATGATCTGACTCCAGTGGTAACAAGAGAAATAAATTTTACTTGCAAAAACAGGAGCACATCTTACATGACATAGTCATGTAGGTACATTTAACTTATTGTGAACAGATTAACTTCAAAAATGTTAACTTTAGGGTTGCTAGAACCCCAGTTTCCAGGGCTCCAATTTCTGGGGGCCCGATTTGTGGGGCCTCACCTCCAAACAGGCACATTTCTGTGTGACATCCCTGTCACGATGATTTCACCCAGAAGTGACATCATTGTGTCACCCATGTAGGGTGTGACACTCTAGTTTTTGGGCAAACTCTATGGTTTTGAAGGCAAAAACCCATAGTTTTGCCCCAAAACTAGATCATCACCCTCTGACAGTGATGCAATGACATCACTTCTGGGTCATTGTGTCACATGCACAGATCCCAGGAAGGACCCATGAGTCCCCGCTGGCTTAAAGGTAGGACCTGGCAACCCTAGCTAACTTGCTACAGCTCCAAGTCCAGGCAAGAGAGAGAAGAGAGGTCCTATATAAGATGAAACAGAAGGCGAGCAAGGACCAAAGAGGGTGGGAACAACTGCCAAGTGTATCCGAGCGGAGAATTCTCTTAACCTCTCCTTCCCAGATCCTCTTGCGTGCAGTCACAATATCCAACAGAAAGCACCTTCCCTCTCCCACCCCTCGACCCTCCAGACGCCCTTCGCATTCAATTCACTCCAGACTAGCCATTGACAAAGAGGATAGCTGAGGTGCCCCAACATGACTCATTTGTGACCACTGAGTAAATCACTGCATGTAATTACCACGACGGAAGCAAATTTCTAATACTTGCTGAACAGAAAACTTTAGGAGGTGCGCTTTGTCTCTGACGGCTTAGCTATATGACACCTAATTTTTTTTAAAGGAAACAGAAGCGGTCGCTTTCGGTTTCGCAAGGTTTTGACTTGGCAATGAGTAAAACTTTTCATAATAATAAAGATAAATATAAAATTGTTATGTCCGCTCAAAAATAATTCTGTGGTTTTGTTCCTTTCTACCGAGTATCACATCTTGCACGTAAAAGGCTTCTATGCAGAAGCCAGTGTCTAATGTAAGGGAGCAAAGCTGTCCGGCAGTATCTTAAGACACCTATGGATAGGGTCCTGAGGACACACTCAAAATGGCTGCCCCCATGATGGAGAGGCTCGAGGTAGCGGGACAGAGGCTGTATAGCAATAGCAAAGTCTGGTTGCCTGGGTAAGTGGGGTTCTAAAATAAGGGTTCGCAAACTTTGAGGTGATAATATGGGATGCAGAATCGTCGCTCTAAAGAATTTTCGTTTGCTTAATATAACTCCGTGATTCTAGCATAGTGTACACGCAGCACGGTTTCGAAGTGTGCCTCGTTCTTGACGTATAGACCTGACAGTTACAGAAAAAGGACCCGAAATGGTGGTAGAATCCAGCCCCTCCCCCTTTCATGCTTATTTATCCATCGGTCACCTTCAGATTAATTTATGCTTTCCAGCTACCGTGTAGTGCATTGTGGTCCAGGTGACTCGCAGTGCAATCCAATGTAGAGGTTTTCCACTCGAACGCCATTGAATTAAATGGACTGCGACTGCAGTGCTGGGGTTGCCAACTCTGGGTTGTGAAATTTCTGGAGATTTGGGGGTGGAGCCTGGAGAATGCAGGGCTATGGGGAGGGAGGGACCTCAGCTGGGTAGAATGATATACAGCAGGGGTGGCCAAGCTGTGGCTCGGAGCCACATGCGGCTCTTTCACACATATTGTATGGCTCCTAGCAGGGTAGCTGGGGAAGTAAAGGGGAGGCATGCCTCCCTGATCGGTCTTCCCTTCCCCAGCCAGTGTTCCCCTCCCTGGGTGGGCTAGAAGTGGGAGGAAGCAGAGAAAGAAAGCAACTGTAAGTGCATTCTCAAAGCACCCCCCTGGCTTGGAGAAGGCATTTGTCTCTTTACATCCCTTTCCAAGCCATCTATTTGCTTTCTTTCCACCTTTCTCTTTTTCTCTCTTTCTCACTTCCTTTCTTCCCTCTCCCACCCCATCTATTTGCTCTCTTCATTTCTCTCTCTCTCTCTCTCTTTCCTTCCACCTCTTTTATTCTTTCTTTCCACCTCACTCTCTCATACACAAATAAATATCATTAGCAAACAAATAAATATTAGCAATATCTGTTTTTATCCCTTTTGTTTTTGTTTTTGGCAGTCTGTTTTAATGTTAATAAAAAGCAAATTTGCTTATTTTTCAATAAAAATGTGTGCGTAATATTTGCTCATGTCTTCCGGCTCTCAAACATCTGACATTTATTCTATGTGGCTCTCACGTTAAGCAAGTTTGGCCACCCCTGATATACAGTCTATTCTCCAAAGCAGCCATTATCTCCAAAGGAAGAGATCTCTGTAGGCTGGACAGCAGTAGGCCTCACCTGGAGGCTGGCAACCCCAGCAGTAACTAAATGATTGCACCATCAGTGGTTCTATGAATGAATGAATGTGCCAGTTAAAGCGTGCCCCTCCCTAGTTTATAATGCATGTGTGGGAGAACTAATGGTTATAGGTTCTTGTGGTGAATCTGGATCTGCAATGTATCTTTGGTGCCAGGAGGAGGTAAAGTAAATAATCACAATGAATTGTTTATATCTGTTACTAAATGGATGCAAACTTGAGTTATTGTTTTACAATATAACATCTGTGCTTTTCACATTCATATGGAAAACTATTCTCCTTTGTATCTGAAGAAGTAAGCAGCATATGATGAGCATTCTGGAAAGAAACTACTGGAAGCTGTGACTAAACAATCAGAATGAGACATATGAAAGGACAGTCTGTGTATGTTATTAGTGTAATAGATTTTGTTGAGAGCAATTGAATGAGAACAAGAAGGGAATTTAGAATTATATCCAAAGCGGCAATTATTTATCATTAGTAAACAAAGTGGTATCTAATATAAAAATATAGCAGTCAATAATTAGAGGGCATGGCAAGGAGGTGGAGGGTGCGCCTCCCCCAGGACCTCTGGCAGCAGAGAGGAGGGATTGCCTTTCTGCTGAAGGGGTTAACAGAGGCAACCCTGTCCAGCTTTCTTTTCATGTATAGAAGACAGAAGTTAGAAGATTGAATGGGTAATAATTAATGAATAATCAAATGAACATGTATTAATGGTTAGAACGTGGCTCTGAGGGAGTTGTATGGTGGTTTTTTAAGCGGGTAGGCAGGGCTGGCCCCAGCTTATTTTGCACCCTAGGCGAGGATCCCTTCTGCCCCCCCCCCCGTGCGCCCACCATTTTTCAAAAATAAATGCATTTTAAGAAGAATGAAAAACACAAATAATCAAGAAACTCCCAGAGTACGGGGCTGGGTGCAGTTTGGCGCCCCTAAGGGCCAGCCCGCTCTAGGCGATCGCCTAGTTTGCCTAGTGAGTGAGCCGGCCCTGCGGGTAAGGATATGGGAATAGGGGGGGGGGGGGGCCTATGAAATATAAATATATATTGTATGAAATAGTCCTACTCAATAAACTTTAAATTTAAAAAGCCATATAAAGAAAACACACCTTGAATACAAGAAGTGAGCAGTGACTCACGAAAGCTCATATCTTACCACAAATTTTGTTAATCTTTAAAGCGCTACTGGACTCTTACTCTTTTCTACTATCATCCTTTTGTTTCCTTCTAACATCCAGATGTGGATTGTAATCAACCATAAACATATATCCATCCTTCAACCATTGTCTAACCATCCTGAATACAATGAAAATTAAATAGTCTGATCCTATGCATGTATGCTCTAGTAACACTGAGACTGCACTACTCTAATATACTGGACTCCAACTTTGTAATGATGTGGGTGGAGCTGCCATTGAAAATGGTTCAGAAGCTTCAGATAATGTAGAGTGTGGGAATTGACTGGGATACATTATGGGGATCACATCTCCCCAGTGTTACAGTAGCTTCATGGGCTGTTGGTTTCTGGGCTTAATTCATAGTGCTGATGCTGACCTGTAAAGCAGCAATCATTTTGATAAGTGCTTGAGGATAAAATCTCTTGCATCCATTCCGACTGGAACTCTGCCTTAGCAGTGACAGGATTGGATGGTCCCAGAGAGTTGATTTGCCCAGTTGTGTGGGATATCTTTTACTGTGTCAAGTCTGGGGATGTAGACAGGATTTGTGGTAGTTTAAGATGTACCAGCTGCTCATATGACCCTTGCCCCTCCTTTCTGCTCAGATCTGCTGGGAGGGGCTGGCAAGTTGGGTCTGGGAGACAATAATGCTTCCCTAAGAGAGGAGGTGATTGCCTCTGCCTTGAAGTGGGTAGTAGTGTGTCCATTCCTAAAGAAACCTATTCTGAGCCCTGGAGAGCTGGATAACTGCTATTCAGTCTCAAATGTACCATTCTTCAGTGAGGTGACTGAAAGAGTGGTGTTGGGGAAACTTCAGGGATTTCTGAATGACGTGGATTGTTTGGATCCACTCCAGTCTCGTTTCAGGCTTAGTTATGGGACTTAAAGCAATTTTGTTTAACCTGGTGGATGATCTGAGCCTGTCAGCAACTTTCGATACCATTGGTCATGGTATCCCTCTGAACCGCCTTTCAGGGTTGGGATTAGGAGTCACTGTTCTGTGATGGTTCCAATCCTATCTCTAAGGTAGGTTTCAGAGTGTGGTGCTAAGGGACTGCTGCTCCACCCCTTGGCCTTTAGGGTCCCGCAAGTTTCTGTCTTGTCCCCCATGCTTTTTGTCATTTACATAAAGCCACTGGGAGAGGTCATCCAGAGATGCAGGCTGAGTTGCCACCAATATGAAGATGAATATTTCACATTTCAGCTGATCCCATGGAGGCTATAGAGACAGGTGCCTGGAGGCACTTTGAATGGATGAGGGCTAACAATCTGAAAAGTAACAACCAGAAGGCCAACTGGTGGGGGAAAGTTTCTCCTGTTATGGATAGGGTTTCATTCCCCCTAAAGGAGGAAGTTTGTAGGTTTGGGTTGCTGCTGGAACCAGGCCTTCTGTTGGAGAAACAGGTGACAGTGGTGCCTTTCACCAGCATTGACTGGTGGGCCAGCTGTGGTGCATGCCCTGGTATGCTGTACATGGGGCTGCCCTTGAAGACTGCCCAGAAGCCACAATTGCCACAAAACGCTGCAGCCAGAATGCTGACCGGAGTGGGTTGTAGGGACCATATAACTCCAGTCTTGTTCCATCTATACTTGCTCTCGATTTGCTTCCAGGCCCAATGCAAGGTGCTGGTATTGACTTTTAAAGCCCTATACAGCCCTGAAGGACTGCCTACTCCCATATGAAGGCCCTGCTTTGGGTTCCTCCACCATCTGAGGCAACCCAAAAAAGGGCCTTCTTGGTTGTGGTGCCAAAACTTTGGAACTCCCTCCTCAGGAAGTCTCATCTGTCTCCCTTTATCATTCTTTTTTACCAGTGGGTGAAAACCTTTTTGTTTTGTTTGGCATGCCTCCAATAACTATTATTGGCCCTCCTCTCTGCTTGGTTATGTATGTGTGTTTATATTTTTATTAAATTGTTTTATAAATGCTGTTTAAATGTTGAAATATTTTGAGGTTTGCTGCCTTGGGGAATCTATTTGGATGGAAAGGTGGCACAGAAATGTTTTAAACAAATAAATAGCCTTGGAGTTGGGTAGCTGTACTACCACCTGTACCTAGAGGCATCCCCATATGAACCTGCTCATAGCTGAATTGTTCTATACCTTTTGTAAGTTGCTCTGAGTGCCTATTAAGTAGAAGGGAAGGATATAAAACTTTATGTAAAACAGGTAGTGCATCCGCGTTACTGGGTCACAGAATTGGATGTAGAACCTGTAGAGTTCTATACTTCTAGTTCCTGGGGTTGAAATTTTTGGTGTAATTCTGTTTCTGTTCATTGAATCCTTTGCAGGCTGACCCAGATCAGGTGGAGCCGATACAGTCCCATTTACCTTGAGCCAGAAATAAACAAAGAAGCATATCGCAAGCCTCCAGAACAATTAACAGAAGAGGAAAAGGCTGACAAAGAGCTCAAAACAGTCCAACCCATAAAAGCTGCCCCTTCCAGTGTCACCAGTTCTGTGTTCTATGATCCACTGATAAGGTATGAGTGCAGCTGTATATCAGTATATCAACTATGCCTATGGCTTAACCAAGTCTCATTGCTTCTATTGAGAAATGTATCATCAATATGTAACAGATAGCAACGACTATTAGTTGAAGGAGCCAGCAAGTACAACATTATGAGCTGGGTGACCTGAAGTGTTGAGGCTATGTTGGTAGTGATTTTAATACAGGGTGGATCAATGCAGAATACTCCTTAGCTTTTCATAAAACAACTGCTACAATACAATACAATGTGTTGTCCTCTCTCACCTGCCTATTCCATGCTTTCTTGTGCAAGATAAAGCAATGCAGGTATAATCTTCAGAGGTGATACTGACCCCATCTCCTCTAGTTTTATGTACCTGCTTGCATGGATCTGCTGAATGTAGTAAGACGCTAAGTTTAAACCAGAGTGTCAAACATGTGGCCCGGGGGCCGGATCAGGGCCCCGAAGGGCTTCTTATCAGGCCCACAGTGGAATTGCCTGTCTTCTGCTGTTTCTTCCAGTTCTGCTGCTGCTGCGTCATTGTAGGTTTGCAGCTTACGGATACACACCTGAACAGCACACTCAAGATTGCAACAGCACAGACATTTTGATGCAATAATTCAGAGCAATACACTGTTAAATAAACAAAATATTGCAAGAGTGCTAATGTTTTAAGCATGTTTTTATTTTAAGTAAAAAAACCCCACTCTTTGTGTTTGTGTCCTTTATAAAGTTTATATCTCTGCTACCTGGCATTACATTTTATGACACACATGGCCCGGCCCAACAAGGTCTCATTTACGTCAGATCTGGCCCTCATAACAAATGAGTTCGACACCCCTGGTTTAAACTGTGTTCTGCTTACTTGACAGTTTTTATGTTCTTTGCCACTCTGAGCTATTGATCAGTGGCAGTTGGTGCAGCGCTTACTGGAGGACTAGCAACTTCTCCTGTTGAGTGCCACTGCATGGGAGGAGATCTGACACCAATACTGGTAGCAGAGGCATGGGGGCTGCACCGTTAACACTAATCAGGATGATGGCCACTGAGTCAGTGGAAGTGCCTTTTACGAATGTCATAACCCACTTCTGTACCAGGCAAAGTTATCCACTTAGCAGCCACATGCCTGTATGGTGCATAGATGGCAGTCCTCTGGCCTTGCTTTGCAATGCCTTCCAGTAAGGTTTTGTGTCTTTCCTCCTGATACAGAAGGGCTTGTCTGGCTGGTAGCCCTCCAGGATACCACTGCAGGAGCCACCACTGCTGTAGAACTTCCCCTCTAGAATGAACGCAATAGGAAGACTGAAACCAGATATGAAATAACTGGCACTCTTGCACTGAATCTCCATACATAATGTGATGTTTGATCAATGTAAGGATAGAGTTTTGTCATAGGGGTCTTGTGCCTTGGCAATGATACTCAGAATTCTAGTACATTCACATCTGTGGTTTCTTATTACAGCAAATTCACTAGCATGATGATGATGGGAGGGAATAAAACTCTGGCCCGATCCCTCATGAATCAGGTAGCTATTTATCTTTTTGTCTCACTATTGCCAATCTGGCAAAGGAACAGAATCCCCATTTTAAAAGAGACCTAGAAAGTGCCTACCTCTGCCCTAGTCTATCCAGTGTGGGGGGAAAAAAACCCATGTGTATCTGCACTCTCCCCCCCCCCCATTTCCCCATTACTGGCCTTGTAACTAAAACACAAATTATGTATTATGTCCCTAATCTATTCTTATACATGGGTAGTTCCACAGATCTGCAATCATGCATCCAGTTGTATACCTTTGCTTTCTGCATTAAATCCAGAGCAGACTCTGGAGAATTCCACAGTTTCTCTCACTTAAAAAGAAATATATTTTTTGTGGTCGCTGAGAATGTTTCAAAAATTGAATGCACTATCTGGTCTTGGTCCTGTAACCTGAATGAGTCGGGGTCAGGCTTCCAGTTGCTAGAAAGGAAGTTCAATGTTTGGGGGTCCTGCATTTACTGATTTTACAAATTGCACTCTCTGCCTAGAGATACTTGGGAGATGGGTATGGGTAATGCTTGTACCACTTTATTCAGGGGTAGACTAAATGCTGCTGCTCAGAGAATCTGTCAGAGAAGGAGTAGAGGCCTCTTCTTATACTGTTCTTTGCAATTAAGACTTTAGAAACCATTAAGAGGAAGCAGCTTGAGAAGTACCATAAATCCGATGAGAAGGAGAGAGAAAACATTGAGTGCAACCCTTACACTATCTTCCATCAGGCCCTGAAAAACTGCGAGCCTATTATTGGGTTGGTGAATATCCAGAAAGGAGGTCGATCCTACCAGGTAACTCATCAGCCTATTCAAGAGCTGAGACAATTATGTTATTATCTGCTTCCCTTCAGCTCAACCCCGCTTGGCTTAGCTTGGATCCTCCTGAAAAATAAGCCTGTCCTTTCCCATCACTGGATGGCATTAAAGAGACCCCAGCAGTTCACCGTTCGATTGCAATGAACTCTAGGTGCTGTCAGAATAACATGGGAGGGAGAGCAGCTCCAGCTCCGTTCTTGAATAGCTGCATATTAAGACTGATGCAGCTGGTCTCTGCCTGGGCACACTTTACAGGCACTGACTGTGACAGCAACAAACATTTCTGGCAAAATGATCTATCAAGCACTGTCCTTTTTAAGTCACTTTGAAGATGTATTGCGATCTCTTCAGGGATCTAAGCCTCCCCATATATGTACAAATTAATACCTTGTGTACACTTGAGCCATCTGCAGTTTGACCTTTTAAGTTCTGAAAACCTTAAGATGCTGATAAAGAAAGGCTTGGCTGAGAAAGGGCAGTGTCTCCTTTAAGGCTCTGAAAGCAAGGCAAGGCCAGATCTTTTATTGCCACAGTAGCTTAAATGCATACTCTTAACAGTACCTTGATTCTCCTAGTGCAGTTCTTGCTCAAAAGAAACCAGTGTTTTGTAGCCCAAGTCTTGAGCAGAAAATAAATGCCACCAGTAAGCACATGCAGGGTGTTTTAAGCTTCTTTTGCTCAGAATCAGGGTGTCCTTAATACAGAGTACATATAATCTTTTGTCTCCTGCAGGTCCCTACCCCCCTGAAGGACAACCGGCGGCGCTTTCTGTCTATGAAGTGGATGATCACTGAGTGCAGGGAAAACAAGGACAGTCAGACATTTATGCCTGAAAAGCTCTCCAGTGAGCTGCTGGAAGCCTTCCACAATGAAGGCCCTATAATAAAGAAAAAGCATGAGATGCACAAAATGGCAGAGGCTAATCGGGCCTTTGCACATTTTCGTTGGTGGTAGAAAACACACCGTCCTGGCAAACGCAATGTAGGATGACGGAGACTTCACCAGAAGGCAGGCATTTCGTAGCATGTCACCAGCCTGGGAGTGCTTCTTGGCTGACTCTCTTGAAACGACGTTTAAGAAATCTCAAAGCAGATTACTTAGTAACATTTCATATTTTAGGAGTTTTTTTCTTGACTCTTACAAGGTGAAGTTATTCCCATTTCCTAGATTACTGGAGTCTTCTGGAAACCTCCTCGTTTGAAGTAGAGCCAAACTAATGGTAATAAAGATGTAAACCACATTTTGATATCTCTGATGAACATTCTCCTTTCCTATAATACTTTTTTCCTGTTGGTTAGTTGACTGTGGTGTATGTGTAAGATAAAATGAGTGAAATTTGATACCATGCTTTAACGGAACTTGAGGAGAGAAATCAAAGGATTGCAATTAACTTTCTGTCTCAAAAAGGATGGGGAAAGGGAGAGTACCCAACATTCAAAATTATACCCTTGGTTCCAGATGACAATAGCCTTTCTGGACCATGAGTCATGCATATCTGCATTTCATTACTTGATTTCTTTACACCTCACGATTGACAATTGGATGTGTCAGCATGTGGCACTGCACTTGCAATAAGGTGAGCAAAAATGAAAGTTCTGTTTGATGTACTATTTATGATGGCTCACCCATCACTTGATGTGGCAAGCCATCCAACTGCTGACCACCACATATGAACTGCACCTGTGGAAGGCTAACAAATGGAAGTACCTCAGGTGCAGCTGTGTGTCCATGCAGGCTGTATTAGCTGAGGACCAGTACGGCCTAGTGGGTAGTGATCTATGGGGTTCACATGGCATATCTGCTGTGTAATGGCTAATTGGTCTTAATCTTAGCTCAACTATTCTACCTGTAAAACAGGGACAAGAATGACCAGTTGCATAAACCAGTTTCAGAAAGATAAAGATTATATGATTCATCACACTGGAAGAGTTATATCAATTATATAAATAAATTCCTATTATTGAACATTGTGTCTCCTGCCTCTCTCCAAAGAATGACCTCTGTACAGGCCAATAACACTGCCTTAAAAATAAAGCCCAAAAAATGTCATAGGTCACCACTTTTTTATTGTTACTAGCATGCTTACCTACATGTATTTGCTACTCCTTTGTGGACTAAAGGGGGGGGGGGTAGCCGCTTCCCTTTCTAGTCATATGAAGGGAATGTTTACCATTGGTAACTAATTGCAATCCTGCCACAAGGCCCCCTTTTTAATTGGAGACGCCCTTAATGAGTGGGAAAGTAAGGACAGAGGATATGCAGAAGTGTAAAATGTTTATTTATAAAAAAGTTCCAAAGCAAGCCAACCTTCTTAACAGAAATGTACAATACTGTGGTTCAAAGTACTTATTGTACAAATGTGACAAAATAAGGTCCTAGCTCTGTGTTCTCAAAAGACTAAGCCCACTGAAGTGTGAGGCTCTGAAATAGCCTGTAGGCTTCCCACCTCCCAGGAGAAAAAGGCACTGCCTTTCTGGCTTCCTGCACCCAGGCTGGCCAGAAGGGAAGAAGGGGTGAGGCACAGCATTAGCTGCAGGTTGAAAGCATTTGTTTTAGCACCCTCCTGCAGCTATGGAAGAATCAGTGTATTTATCCTACTTTTTAAAAAGGTGCTGCTGAATTTTCCAAGGCCATAAATTCCAATGTTCCTGTCCAGAAGCATAAAACACCACTGGTGCAGGCAATGGCTGGCCAGCAGCTTTTATAACATCTTGTGCTCTGCCATTGTAAGCAGCACATAAGTCACAAGGCTTGTCCCTTGATCACTGAACAATCACACAGTTTAAGAGGGCTGTTACCAGGGCTTTTTTCTGGGGGAATGTGCCAGAACAGAGTTCTGGAACCTCTTTGACAACATTCTTTTAAAAATGTTTAAAAGTTCATGATTTTCCAGTATACAGATTGAAAACTTCATTTCCCTTTTGAGAGTTCTAGCACCTCTTTTTCCACAAAGAAAAAAAGAAGCAGCAGCATCCCTGGCTGTTACTCAAAATAGTATCAGAGTAAATTAGTGGCTCCCTGGGGCCATTTCGAATGAGGAAAACAGTGTGTGGGTGGGTGGGGGGGTTCATTCCCCCTTCCCCATCAGAATCAGGTTCTTCCCTACCTGAGATTTTTAAAGGGGGGGGGAAAGGGGCTGGGAACTCAATGCATGGAACTCAGCATCAAGCACTTCATTTAGAAGAAGAGGAGATTGGATTTATACCCCGCCCTTCACTTGGAGTCTCAGAGCGGCTTACAAACTCCTTTCCCTTTCCCTCCCCACAACAGGCTCATTTAATCATAAGACTCATGTTTAGAAATATTGCAAGGTTTCTTCTCTCCTAGTTATCATGTGACTGTAGACCACCAATCAAGGATGACACGATTGCATGTTCTTTTTTTCAGAAAAAGCCAGGCTTAGACAAAGCTAGCGTGGCAGCATGATGGGCCTTGCCTTCTTGCACTGCAAAAGTGCCACGGACAGTTTTGAGGAACATTCAAATAAGCACGTGCATCCCTACAGTCTGAAGTGGTACAAGTTCTGTGCCACTAAGTTCTGAATGAGTGGGCTCTAAGCAGAATCTCAGCTTTCAAACATCTTATTTTCAGGTTGCAAAACAAAGGGATGGCACACCCTACTGTCTGCATTTAATTTATGGCAGCAATGCTGGTATATTAAATGATGATTGCGAGTTCCACCTGTTTGCTTGACAGAAGTGACAATATGCTGGAAAAGCTGCTAGTTTTCCATTAACAGTTGGAGAACCAGCAATAGGAAGCATGATGCGACTAGCTGCCATTGGTGGGTAGTGGATGGTGGAAGGAAAATTGGCACATGGACCAAGAGTTCAGAGACGTTTTTCTTGAGAGTTCAGAGAAGTTTCTGAAAGCTCTCAAAATGGCTCGTAAGGAAGCAAACTGAAATTCTCTGCTAGTGCTTCGATTACAGAATCCCCTTTCCCCTTCTCGACTAAAGGGGAAATTAAGATCAGCTATGGAAGAGCCAGAGATCGCTAAAAGAAGAATTTGCCAAACCGAGGCTGAAAAGGGTTTCTAAAGTCCATAGGGTTATTCCCTGGCTAGTTTTTAACCTCGCTCCATCTTAGCTGTGCACATTTCAGTCAGCATCTGCAAGCAAGCCTCCAGGATGCAGCAAGTCTATGAAGGAAAAGGTCAACCCAGCTTGTCACTCATTGATCAGTACAGATCCCTATTTAGTGCAACGCTGTGCAAACAGCAGTTCTAAAATAATATCCTTTTCTCCTAAATCCGGCTGCCCTCCTTTCCCCCGTTTCATCCACCAGTTCCCCAGAATAAGAGGACTATTAAGTGAGTGTGTTATACATTCTATGTACAAAAAGTGCTAGAGGAAGAAAAGTTAAAAATAGTTGCAGCTTTGTTTGGTTTGAAGTTTGCTGGTGAAAGGGAGTTGGTGGAATTTAAGCCCTGCCTCTGGGCAGCAAGAGCAGGTGACAGCAATTGTCCACTCAATCTGTGACCTCGCTGTAATAGTATTTCTGGGCCGCTTCCGTCATCTTCCAGTCAGCGGCCCGGAACTCAATGATCTCCAGCAGTAGCAGCTGGGAAAGGGAGCTGAGTCCCTCCTGCAGCAGGAAGCCATCCCTTAGGAGGGAAAAGAGCTCATCCATCCTCTGGGAGTTCATCTTCTCAAGCTGCTCCCCAATACGGTGCAGCTGCAGCACCAGGCAGTCCACCTTAACAGCAGGAAGAGGAAAAGAAAGTTCTGTTAAGGTGCAACTACTGAATGGCATTCCTCATAGCCCCAGGCTGGATTTTAGCACAAAACCAGATGAGCAAGAAAAGGAAAGCGCTGGTGACCCCTGTCCTGCTCGTGCAACGATGCGAACTGGTCAGTGTACGTTCCTTAGCCTCGAAGCAGCACAGCTAGAGTACCAAGCAAGCAGAAGATGCTTTTTCATTGTCCAAACTGCTCTCATCCCTGCTGTGTTCCTGTGACACTCACCTCTTCCTCCTTCTGCAAGCTGTCAGGCTGGGCCAGTCGGAAGAGGCAATCGTAAACCGGGTTCACCAACGCCATCATGGGCATGTTGTTTACCTGTTAATAGGCAGCGTATTTGTCAAGTGATGTTCGAAGCATAACTGAATTTTTGAAGACACCCCCTTTTAGGAAAAACAAAATTATTTTTAACTGTCTGTGATGTTTTTAGGGTGTATATTTTTACACTGGGCTTGGTTTTTTCCCTTCTAATATTTTGTTTTTATTATTCTTACTTTGTAAGCCACCTTCAGCAGGTTCCTGAAGAGGCAGCATAATTTTTTTTCTAAATAAATAATAATAAATAAAGACTCTAGGAGCTTAGAAGGGTTAAATAAGTTGCAAGAAGAACACTAAAGAATTCTCTTTAAAGGATAATGTGCAAAGAGGCATAAGTTTCAAGACTGCTGCATTGGATGCACAATTTCAAGGAGACTGCTGAAGCAGGCTTTTCCTTCTAAAAACCCATGCCACATGTCTCTTGGGGTATTTTCCCCTCTTTTTATACAGTCCAGAAAGAGACGTGGTTTCCCCGAGAAACTCACACACATGAATCTGCAAATGTATTTCATTAAAACAGTGAATGCTAAGGGCTGCATTTGCACACGTGTAGCCTGGAAGCTGACTATCTCTGCACTGATACATTTAGCACAGCTTGCTATGTGGATCCTCTGAACTGTGTGGAAAGTAAGTAAGTAACACATGCTCCCAGGAACATCTCATTCACCCAGATGGGAAGGGGAGCCCGTTTCTCATTCACAAGGGGAGCTGCCTCTAGTTTTGTTTTCAATATGTAGTTTATCACTTTCTCTGGCAGCAGCTGCTCTCCTTCAGCAGACAAAAAGTAACTGCCCCCAGTTAAAGTGGTACACTGCAACCTGTAAGGGGCGGCTGCTGCTGCTCCTGCCAAAGCTAACGGCAGGAATTAGCCAGGTTAACCAGCCCTGCAAGCCTATTGGCCTGTACTGGCTGCTGACAGAAGAAAGTCTGCTCCTTCCTCCAGCATTCCAGGGACAGGCAGACTCAAATCTACATATTCCCTCATTAGGAGAGGAACACGTGAAGAGACCTTGGATCCAATCAACAATTCAGACGTTTGGTCTCTCAGCATGGTCCCCTTACCCTCAAGTAATCAAAGATGTTACAAATAAAGGTGACGTAGCAGATCCAGGCCTGGAGAGAACGGGCTCGCAGTTCATCACGGTCCTTGTATTCCTGCTTGAAGTCGGTTGAGAAGGCTTCGACGGAAGACACTCTGGCCAACCTGCTTGTTTTCTGCCTGTAACAAAGACGTGGATCCCAAATGGTCAGATGGTGTGGTACCAGGGGTAGAGCATCAGAATAGGATCTGGGGGTTAGGGTTAGTGACAGGGTTTAAAATTAACTTCAGGAAGACAAAAATGTTTACAAAGAATTGTACGAAAGAACAGATCCAACAATTACAAGAAAAATCCAGTACTGAAGTACAGAAAAAAATTAAATACTTAGGTATACTTTTAACAAATAGATGCAGCTCATTGTCTAAGGATAACTATAGTAAACTCTTGAGTATTAAAAAAAGACTTGGAAAAATGGAATCAATTTCAATTATCTTTTATGGGAAGAATAGCTACTATTAAGATGAACGTTTTACCGGGAATTCTCTTTTTATTTCAAACAATTCCAATTGTACTGAACCAACAATCCTATAAAGAATTAGAAAAATTGACACGGCAGTTTATATGGCAAAATA